CAATAGTCAACCAACACAATCAAATCCAAATTTCTAGTATGATCATAAAAATGTGTCGGAGAAGACGGACTGGAATTTCATCGGAAAGAGGAAAAATGACCTACTCCTTTACAGCTGCTACTGATTGATGCACAAGTCCAGCTAAAAATCAGCTACGTTCATCTACCAGAGAAGATGAACGAGAATTTTTGCTAGAAATGGGTTGGGTTTTCAGTGTTTCTAGGGCTCCGTTTTGGGGGAAATGGTCTTCCTTCCCTCGTGTTTGATGTTTCCTTTTTTCTAACATTCTCTTCCCCCTTTTCCCTTTTCTTTCCTTTTTTGGCCACGTCACCCGGTTTTTTTGAAATTCTGTAAGACCTATGTGAACTTTGGTCTGTACATCTAGAATTACTGTTGATAGATTTTAAGTTGTTCATATATTATCTTAACGTACTTTTTTATTGAAAATTTATTTTTTTGGGAACAAATTTGTATTAATTTCATGAAAAATGTGATTGTCAGGTTAAAATACCAATTTTCGTGTCTTAACATTAAAATAAATTTAAAAAGTAATTTATTTAGCTTTTGAATTAAATTCTTGTGCCACAATATTGAAATAACATAATTCTTTTGCATTAAAAAATAATTTATTCTTTTGCCTTTGCTATTTTTTATTAAATTCTTTTCTACAATATTATTTGGTTATATAAATATTTAATAAGGTGTTCATTAATGTGACTGCCACAACAGTGAGAGTCTTAAACGATAGTTTGACTTTCGAGCGGTCACTTCTTATAAAGGTCGCCGAGTTCTGTTCGGACTAGACCTGACCATCTTGAAGGACTACCCGACAGTTTCTCAAGATCACGAGCGATACCTCAAGTCAATACAATTTTTTACGGGTCGGATTGTATTGAATAGCCTGGTTCATTAATGGATTTGGGTTATTCTTGTTCACGATCGATCCGTCCATTTGACACCACTTTACGCCTGTTCTGACGATGCTCCAAACATCAACCGTATCAGTTAGGAAGTCCGATCAGGTCTACATTCTACATCACTGTTGGAGTCGAACCCTAGTTCTCTCACTTTGGTGCTCTCCAGAATTTGTGTTGGTTAAAATTGTGTTTTTGTGAAACACGTCTTTATTAGTTAAAACGCCTTTCTGGATGGATGACACGTGTGATATTCCCGGTCGTTGGATAAAGTGGATCTAGAATGATCCTTGGCTTTTCTGTGACGATTCATTTGGACTTGGACTATTTGATTTTCTTATTCATCTCATTCATTTGGCTCTTAGGCTTCTTGAGAGAAAAAGATAGAAAAGGGAAAATGCTAGGGTTGGTTCTTTCGCTGTGATATCTACTTAAATTTCTAATTTTAAGTTGAGAGTGAGAGCATAAACCTTCGATTGTGTAATATTCTGTGTGAATATTGGGGAGAATCTATTTGATTCCATTATTGTTGGTTTTGGTCCTGTTTGAGGGGTTTTCTGAAGATTTCTGGGTGGATCTTTAAAGGCTATCATTATATTTTGAGAGATAAGTGTTTTGTTTACATTTCTCTGAACATTTTGTAATTTTGTTTCCATTTTTGGCCGTTCTTAGTGCAACCGAGCATAATCTTTTTCTTGGATACTCAACGAGGAATGTAGGTGTTAGAAGTGGTCACCAAACCTTCGAGGCTTAAGCCAAAATAATAGTTTGGTGTTCAACTTTAATTTTTTGCAGTTTTACTTTCTGTTTGATCGAGTTATTCTTGTTTCTTGACGCTTATATTGTGTGATCCTGGCTTTTCGGTGGTATCAAGCACTGGAATTATAAACAAGATCCTGGATCTTCAAAGAAAGAGGTAGATCTTGAAGTTTTTGGATCTGCTTTTAAGCAAAATTACAAAAAAAGGAGTTTATACAAGCTCGTTTGGTGAGATCTTTAACTTTTTTAAAAATTTACTTTTTGAAGTTAAGATTTCTTGACTTTTTTCTTGATTTATCGTACACCATTGAAATTTCCATGAGAATAGTCTTTGTCCAGTGGCTCCTGCAAGGATTTTGGAATCTAAGATAAATCAAGTACGGGTGTGTACTTGGAGAATGTTGCTAAAGAAATCAGTGAAACATAACTAATTGATCTCTGTGTTGTTTTATTTAAGTGATTTTGCCCGCACTTTTGTTGATACTGCTAAAGTTGATTAAATCTTGTATTATTGTGTATATACTGTGATTTTTTAGAGTAACACCGACTCGTGTACTTGACTCCTTTCTTATTGTCCATATACCTTTGTTGACATTTGTGCGTCAATTGTCTGTTAAAATGGCGACTGCTAAATTTGAGTTAGTCAATTTGATGGTAAAATTGATTTTAATATATGGAGTCATAAAATGAGAGCCGCTTTAATGGAAATGAGATGTGTTAAAGCTTTGGATGATACTTGGCCACCTGATTTTTCCCCTGCTAAGAAAATTGTAATTGAAGAAGTTGCTTGGAGTACTATATTTTTATACTTGACTGAAAATGTGATCAGAGAAGTTGGAGGAACTAAAACTGTTGCTGATCTTTGGGCAAACTTATGGTCAAATATGTAACTAAAACTACTCCAAATAATTTTTTTCTTTTGAAACAATTCTCTTCTTTCAAAATGTATCCTTCAATTCATTTGGATGAAAATTTGAACAGATTTACAAAACTTACCCAAGATTTGGCCAACAGTGATGAGAAACTTTGAAAAGATCAGTTGGCTGTAGTTTTGTTAAACTCCATTAGTGATGGGTATAAGGACATTAAGGTTGTCCTTGAACATGGCAGGGATGATCTTACTACTGATATCATAATTAATGCTTTAAGAAGTAAGGCACAAGAAATTAAGGCTGAGTTAAGTAACAGTCGCACTCGGGTAAATTTGTTGTCCACTGGTAAAACTTATGGTGAGTCTAAACATCATCCTAACTTTTCTAAAGAAAACAAAATAGACTGAAAGGAATAAGACCAAGAACAATGCTAAAGGCAAGAAATGTTATTATTGTGATAAAATTGGTCATTTTGCTAAAGATTGTTCTAAAAAGAAAAATGACGCAAAGGGAAAAGGTTTTGAAAATGGGAGTAATACCTTGGTCCATGAGAAAAACCAAAACTGAAAATGGTTTAGTCCTAGTAAGTGTTGAAAAGAAGTTAAGTGGTGAATGGATACTTAACTCTGGCTATTCTTTTCTCGTGTCCTAATAAAAACTCTTTTATTGATTTTGAAAATACAAGAGGGGGACAAGTTATAATGGGTAATAACTTTGCCTACAAAATTAGTGGAATAGGGAATGTTAAAATTGTTATTAGAAAATGGAAATGTTTTGTTTCTAAAGGAAACTAGATATGTCCCAGATTTAAAAAGGAACTTAGTGTCCTTAGGCATGTTAGATGATATGGAGTTTAACAAAATTTGGGGAAAGGACACATCAAAATTCTTAGGAGGGATAAAGTGATCATTTCTGCCCCTAAGAGACATGGTTTGTATTGTTTGAATGCTAAATCTTTGTTGGCTCTAACTATTTCCACTGTACATGAAAATTTTACTTTGGCAAAATTGTGGCATGAAAGACTTGATCACATTGGTAAAAAGAGTTTGAATTTTCTGCAATCTAAAGGAGTTTTTGGAAAAAAGAAATCTTGGTGATTTTGGTTATTGTGAACAATTTATTATAAGAAAACAAGTTAAACTTCCTTTTCCAATTGAAATTCATAAATCCAAACAAAAACTTGAATATTTGCGTGCTGATTTGTGGGGTCTTGCTGCTATGTCGACTTTATCTGGCTTCAGATACTATCTGTTGATAATTGATGAATTTTCAAGAAAATTTTGGGTGTTTTTCCTAAAGTCCAAAGATGAGACATTTTCTGTTTTTAAGAATTGGGAAACCCAAGTTGAAAATCAAGCTGATCTTAAAATGAAAATATTGAGAACTAATAATGGCTTGGAATTTTACAATCATAAATTTAATAATTTCTGTAGAGAGCATGACATTTTGAGATATAGAACTGTCACTTACACACCACAACAAAATGGAATAGCTGAAAGGATGAATAGAACTTTGTTAAATAAAGTAAGATGTATGCTTATAAGTTCTAGTTTGCCTAAAATGTTTTGGGGTGAGGTAGTTAAGATTGCAGCCTATTTGATTAATAGGAGTCCTAAAAGTGCTTTGAATTTTGTTACTCCTGAAGCTGTGTGGTCCAATAACTTTGTAAATTACTCTTACTTGAAAGTTTTTGGCTGTGCTGCGTATGCTCATCAAAATGTTGGAAAGTTAGAACCTAGATCACTTAAATGTATTTTCTTGGGTATGATGAATATGTAAAAGCGTACAGATTGTGGGTTAAGTCTGAAAAAGGTTACATGGCTATAATTATAAAAGATACCATTTTTAATGAATCCTTAATGCCCTGTCATGAAGAAAAATAGAATGTTTTAATTGAAAAGGATGTTCAAATTGAGATGGGTTCTCTAGTAATGACCAGGTCACTCCTGAGTCTACTGCTAAGGATATTGAACATGAAGAAACTATTATTGTGCCTGAAACTGAAATTGAACAAGAAATAGATTATGTTAACAATCTGATCCTACAATTCTTCCCCTTGATGAGTACCAATTGACAAAAGATAGGGAGAGAATGCATATGAAACCATTCACTAGATTTGATAGTGATAATTTTGTTTCCCTATTTATTTATCAAGAACTTTCTGAAAATGAACCAAACTCTTTTGATGATGCCATAAGTTATAAAGAAAGTGAAAATTAGAAAGCTGCTATGGAAGATAACATGGCCTCACTTCTTAAATATAAAACTTGGGAACTTTTAGTAAGGCTTTTTTCCTTTTGTATTTTTTACTTCTATCTTGTCATTAAAATGACTGCCCATGTTGAGTGTTCATGGCGGTACTTAGTTATGGTTAAGTTGCCTAACTACTAAATTTCCATGCACAAACAGAGAGACGCATCGTTCTCATTTTTAACACGCATTGGAATCTGGATATTTATTACTTCTAATCACAAGGCAACCATATAAATATTATTCATTAGAAATAATTACACATCTCTCAGTGAAATATCTGATTAGTGAATGCTAATCGATCACGACTCTCCTCTTCTTCTTCCTCATCCCCGTCATCTTGTCCAGATTGGCATAGTCGAACAGGCTCAAAATTGTTGGAGGGAGCAGCAGTTTGTTCGAAGTTAGAAGCGCTGCTGAAATTGTTGATGCTAATAAGATTATTGTTTGAAGCTGAAGAAGTGTTTGAATAGGCCGGCTGTAACACTGCAACATGTTGCTGCTGTTGTTGCTGTGATGATGAATTCTGAAGGGCATTTACCATTGCAAATCTACTGTTCATCAACTGAGTTTGCACCACTGAAAGCTCCTCTTGAAGAGATGTCACCTACATATATTTACATAGCAAGTCATCCCCGAAAGGAAACAAGAAATAATGGGGCACCAAAATGCTATTTTCTGAAAAAGTAAGACATACGAAACGCTTTGGTGGTTATAAGCGTATGATGTATTTTGTTTCAGTACGGATAATTTCTTTATCAGTAACTATTGATTGTTAAATAATTGTGTTTCTTTTTCCTATATCTTCATTTACAGAAATTTATCAGCACAGAAAGCAGAGATATATGTGATACAAAATTAATTAATCCATCCCAAATCAGATCTAAAGTATACATCATATATAATCAGTTTTTTCTTGGTAAATTCCACTATAGAATCCCTTTTTGGTTATCTTATTCATCGTCAGTCTTTTCTGTATTAATTTAAATTATACATGGGCGATGTAACTTACTAATTGACAGTTTGATGTTTTTTGAGTTAAAAAAAACTGTCATAAAAACAAATATTTCATCAATTTGCTTAATCAACAATTTGCATATTAGCTATGTTGTGCACAGAAACTAGAAAGTATATATGACTAGATCATTATTCCTGCAGACATTGTTTATATTGAACAAAAGTTGGTAAATTTAGCTTGCTAATAGACCACTTTAGTTGTCGATCATAATCTGTTTTCCAAACTATGGGGATACACTAACTTTCCACTTCCACTTCTGTAACAGAGGTTAAAAGGTGCGAACGAAGAAAGCTTGTTAAAGGCTTCGCAAATGTTAATGCGAACTCAAAGAATGGAGAGGGGAGATATTGAATTAAAGGAATATTTCCCATTCTCTCTTAAATAAATAAAGCTCGCCCTCGAGCCCTGGGCCGGTCGGCCGTATCCCGAATACAAATAAAAAAACTGTGTTTGATATGGCCCATAACTCTAGTGGTGTCTCTTATGCTCGACTCATTAAAATTAGATAAGACAAAAGAAGAAATTTTTTTTTTTAATTGTTCAGTCCATTTGATAAACTAACATGCCTAGTAATGTTCTATTTTGAGAAGGTCATTCTTTTGCACAAACCTGCTGCTGCAAGGCAATAATTGTTGACACACAACCATAAACCGGATCCGAAAGTCTGGCCTGAGCCTCATACGATATTGTCACGACTGCATCATGTCTCCGGTTGGCTGGAATATGCGACAGGAGCTTAGACACATTGCTAGCCCCAAACACCTTATGCACCGCAGCAAACCGAGCGGCACCTTGATCGGAGCCAAAATGAGGAGCAAATATGCATCCACTAATACACTTCCTCCTCAAGAATTTGCATGCACCACAAGGTGCATTAAGCGCCAGAGCCCCTGCTGCTGTCTCGGCTTGCCCCGCCGAGCGCTTTCCTGAGCCCTTGCGACGATTATCAGATGTACCATCACCTTGTGATCCATCCATGCAGAAGAAAATAAAAAAATAAAAAATAAAAAATCGGTTAACAAGAAAAAAGGGTGTTAAGAAGTGTGTTTATAGTAGTGATGAGTGCACGTAACTCTCGTGGGGGGTTATCATCGTTATTGAACCATTACAGAGACATAGAGATGTGTAAAGTTGGTAATAGGGGGAGGCGAGGGGGAAAGGGTTGGTGTGTGAATTAGATGTGCAAAGGGAGTGTTAATGTGTACGATCTTTTATTAGGCTACAATCTTTCTACAAGGGCAATTTGTTTGATGGATAACATTGCTGTCCTCTAGGAAGGCACAAGATTTGTGCTGCCCGTAACGTGCGGGATGGTGAGAAACAAAAGTATTTGGTTGTCAATTCATGCAAGGAAGCATAAAAACGTATTTGGCTGTCAATTCTTGCAAGGAAGCATAAATCAACATTGTTAATACATCTATACTAATGTATGAATACATTTAAAATGTGTAAGTGTTTTTGTCAAACGGTTTCATCAAGTTATTGTTCGAGTGCTACTCTTCAATTTTTTAGGTGTCGCTATTTATATTCACAGTTTTTATATCTTCATCTCATTCTATATTCATACTCATTAAAATATCAAAATTTTAAAAAATATTATTTTTTTCCATATCAAATTTCAATATTGTCTTTATTGAATTCATTCATTTAAACATAACAACACAGATTTTACATATTCATCCCACTCTAAACACATCCCTAATACAATTTCAAAAAAATAAAAATCAATATATTCCTTGACGCCAAGTAGGATAGTGATTATCCTATTGGTTTGTTGTAACAGATGATTCACAAGAAAGAAACGAAAGAAAAATGCCCAAAAATTAGAGAAAATACTCTGAAATCAACTCAATATTATTAATAATGCCGAATGACCAAAATTAACCCACAAGCTCGGTTAAATAGCTGCGAAATACGAAATTATAGGAAAATTACCAAAAATGGTAAAATCCTGAAATTATACCAGAATAAAATATTTAGTAAAAGAAGTAGGTTGCCAAAAATTTGGCATAATTCGAGTTTTCTAACATATGGAAAAAGGGAAGCGAAATATTACCATAAATAGTAAAAAATAACTAAAAATTAAATTTTGGAAAGGAAAACAGCAGATTTTGGACTCGAAATTGATGTCCACCAAGTATAGTTGGGTGGCCACAACATGCGAGCCGAAGAGAAATTTCCGGATTGGGGTCATAATAGCAATTCCGATAACCGTAGCTAAAGTTATGGCCAAATTACCTAAGACATGTCAAATTCCCCCAATCAAGGAAATAATTGCAATTCACTTTCCATCTTTGCGCCAATCTGCCATCTCATGTTATCTCAGCGCCATCATCGTGCTATCTGACAAATCAACATCACTCGTCTCGGATCCTCCTGCATCAATCTCCCTGGGTTGGAAAGAACTCGCCCTCGAGTTCACAGTAACTTCATCGGACTCCATAAAACAAGGGCTTAGGTGTTTCACATTGAAGACGTCAAAGGTCTTCAAATGGCTAGGGAAGCACAACCTGTAAGCATTATCATTGATCTTCTATAGCACAACAAGGTCCAATCTTCCACTCCTTTAGCTTATTGTACTCCCCAACTGGAAAACGATCACGAGTTAATACTGCCCAAACAAAATCACCAACATCAAACAACACCTGGCGCCGATGACTATCTGCCTGAGCCTTATACTTAGTATTACTATCATGTATGGACAGCTTCACTTACTCATGGATACCCCAAAGATGTTCAGCCATCTCATCAGCTTTGTTATTGAAGCGACCCACACGTGGAATTAGAGCCAAATCAAGTACTCCGGATGGATTCCGACTATAGACAATTTCAAAAGGACTCAGTCTGATGGTTTTATTCCTCGACCGATTATAAGAAAACTCTGCTTGAGGTAATGCCAAATCCCACTGCTTTGGTTTAGTCCCTACCAAGCTTCTCAAAAGATTTCCCAAACTTCGATTCACCACCTCAGTCTGACCATATGTTTGGGGATGGTATGCGCTGCTAAAATTCAACATTGTTCCAAGTTTCTCCCACAAACTCCTCCAGAAATCACTCATAAACTTAGTGTCACGGTCAGAAGTAATTGACTGTAGAACACCATGTAAACGCATAATCTCTCTGAAATAAAGATGAGCAATCCGAGTAGCATCCATTGTCTTCCAGCAAGCCACAAAATGAGCCATCTTTGAAAATCTGTCAACCACAACAAGAATGGAATCCATCGCCCAATGTGTACGAGGTAAGCCCATGACAAAATCCATGCTGACATCAAACCAAGGAGCTTCAGGTACGGGTAATGGTGTGTACAATCTAGCATTAGTAAGAGCTCCTTTACACCACTGACATACATAACACCACTCCACATAATGCACCACATCACTGCTCAACTTGGGCCAATAATAATCAGAAGAGATCAATGCCAATGTCTTGTCTCACCCAAAATATCCTTAGTTCTGAAGCTCACTAATAATCTGCTGCCTTAGTGAACAATCCAGAATGCATAACTGCAATCCACGTTATAGGTAACCATTATGTAAAACAAAATCATGTCGGGGATTATCAATTACCTCCTGAATTATCTTCCCAAATGAAGGATCTACAGCATACATATTAGGAAACGTCTCAAATCCGAAAATCTTGGTGCTCATGGTGGTGAGAAGTAATGTACGACGGCTTAATGCATCTGCTACTCGGTTCAAACTCCCTGTTTGATGCCTTAGTGTGAAAGTAAACTCCTGCAAGTATGCCACCCACTTTGCATGTCGCCTACTCAGCTTGTGCTGACCATTGATGAACTTCAAGGCCTCATGATCAGTAACAAGAATGAACTCCCTCTGTACCAGGTAATGGCGCCAATGCTTCAGAGTCTGAACTATGGCATAGAACTCCAGGTCATAAGTGGAATAATTTTTCTTCGATCCCGATAGCTTCTCACTAAAAAGGCTACTGGACGTCCCTCCTAACTTAGAACACCACCAATACCAACTTCAGATGCATCACATTTTACCTCAAACACCTTCTCAAAGTCCGGAAGTGCCAAGACTGGGGCCTCCGCAATCTTTTGCTTAACCAACTGAAAGTTAGCCTCTGCCTCCTTGGTCCACTGAAAATCACACCCTTTAAGGCACTCTGTGATAAGAGCAATCAAGGTACTGAATTTCTGATGAACCGACGATAGAAGGATGCCAATCCATGGAAACTCCTAACATCGTGCAAAGTTTTTAGCTTGTGCCAATTCAAAACTACCTCAATTTTGGATTGATCTGCATGAACACCATCAGTAGACACAACAAAACCCAAAAAAGTTACAGAAGTTGTGAAGAAAGAACATTTATTCTGATTAATAAATAAGCACTCCGCCCTCATTGCATCAAAGAAAGAACAAAGATGATTAAGATGTGACTCCCATGTCGGACTATAAATAAGTATGTCGTCAAAATAGACTACCACAAACTTCCCCATGAAAGGCCGTAAAATATGATGCATAAACCTCATAAAAGTGTTGGGTGAATTGGATAGTCTAAAGGGCATGACCATCCACTCGTACAACCCATGCTGTGTCGTGGTCTTCTACTCATCTGGTGGTATCCGCTTTTAAGGTCAATTTTGAGAAGACCTTAGAACCGGACAATTGATCCAACATGTCGTCCAGACGGGGAATTGGAAATCTGTACTTCACTGTAATCCTGTTAATTGCCTTGCTATCAACACACATACGCCACAACCCATCTTTCTTCGGCACTAGTAGAGCGAGAACTGCACAAGGACTCATACTCTCACGAATATAGCCCATTTCCAATAATTCTACCACCTGTCGCTACAACTCTTCAGCTTCCTTGGGACTGAGGCGATATGCTGGTCAGTTTGGTAGACTGACCCTAGAATAAGGTCGATCTGATGTTGAATTTCCCTCATAGGTGGTAATCCTGGAGGAAGATCCTCCGGCATCAAGTCAGAAAACTCCATCAGTAGTTGTTGTACTTCTGCTGGTAATTCCGAATCCACATTCGCTGCACTATTTTCACGAGGCATTAAAGAATAAACTATTTTTTTACGCCCAACCTCAACCAAGAACCTGGACATAGAAAGTAGATTGGGGTTATTAACTACCAGGGTAGGGATGTTTTCTTCCCTGCGAGGCGCTAAAACAATTCTCTTCCCTTTGAGGCTAAGAGAATAAGTATTCTTCCGCCCATCATGGATAACACTGTGATCATACTGCCAAGGTCGTCCTAATAAAACATGACACGCGTCCATTGAAACCATATCACACCAGGCATTATCAAAATATTTTTTTCCAATCGAAAAAGACTCTAAGCACCGTTTTTCTACTGTTACCTCACTACATTTATTCAGCCAAGACAATTTGTATGGTTTGGGATGACGATCCATCTTCAGTTGCAGTTTCTCGATAGCCTCCTTAGACACTACATTCTCACAACTGCCACTATCAATTATCAGCTTACAGACTTTATCAGCAACTGTGTAGGTTGTGTGGAATACGTTGGTCCTCAACCAATCGTTCCCCGAATTGCCCTTGGCAGTCAACGGGCTCTTTCGAACAACCAGGGTCTCCTGACCATCTCCATAAAGCACGTCCTCATCTTCACCATCATCATACACGGGTTCCCCAACTTCCCCGAACTTCTCGTCATATCCTCCTCAATCAGAAGATTTTTATTCTTCTGACCAGTAGGCTTCCTGCAATCAGTCGCCCTATGCCCCTGTTCACTACAGCTAAAGCACTTAATACTTGAGTTGGAACTGTCTCGCTGTGGCTGATAAGCAGGACGAGATTCTTAAGGGCGAACTGGCTGACTTTCTTCACCTCTGACCACTGGCTCCTACTTTGCTGTTTTTCCACTGCAAGTGCCCGCTGATATGCCTCAGAAACCGTCCACAATGAATGAAGGCTGAGAACATCCTGCAGGGGCTAACTTAATCCCCTCAAATACCGTGCTACCATCTACTCCTCCATCTCAGATAAATCATTCCGAGCCACCAGCTAATAGAATTTCTCAGTATAATCATTGACTGATCTTGCGCCTTGTCTCAGTGAATGGAGCCTCTAAAACAAGGTTTGAGTATAGCCGAAAGGAAGGAAGTGCCCTTTCATCTTCTTCTTCATCTTCTCCTAATCAGTAATTTTAGATTTCCCCTATCGCTCCCGTGAACGCTTC